TGTATCGCACGTTCTACTGAACTGGTTAAAACGCCTGCGAAGAGTCGATCGCATCACGCAGCGGTTGTGAGCTCGAGGCCACGCTCATCTGAATCGACCTGGCCTACAAATGATAGCCTAACGAAGTGGCTTATCACGTGGAAACGCATTGTGGCCAAAATACTATAAAAAGCACGTCTATTCTAAATGCGGAGGGAAAAACCGGAGGACCCGGAAGAAAAAAAACAATCCACGCCACCACGGGGAAAAGATGGAAACTCCAAATATAGACAGGCGTCAGGGTCGGGATCGAACCCACAATTTCCTGCGCACCAGTCGACCTCGGGGAGGCCCAGGATTGGTTCCGATAATCGTCCCTCGTGTCGGTGGCAGTGAGCGGGGATTGAACCCGGGTCGCCGGGTTCGTAGCGCCGACGCGTTAACCGCTTTCCGCTACCGCTACCCACAGAGTTAATCCCACACACACACACACGCGCGCGCTCGCACACACACACACGCGCATCCCTGCTGGCAAAGCTAACGAGGAAATCTAAATTTACACGCAGACAACGAATTCACGTCAAGCACGCTCCGCCAAACAGTGGCAAGCTCAAGGGAGGGCTGCGACCTCCCTTAATGTACAGCATTGCCTCCCACCCCCCCGCATTGTGAGCCCCCCATTCTCGGGGGGCGGGGGGGGTAGTCATGTTCATGAATTCAAGCTAGCGGGGTCATCGTGGACAATGTATGTGTGCACGTATGTTGGACTTCTTTCGCGCCGTTCGGAGCCCACCGCGCTCATCGTAGATCGCACCTGGACATCGCTCCCTTCCTTTTGCCAGACTCCGCAGCATGGCTTTCCCTCCCATGGCGCCGCGTTGTTCAGATAACGGAGAGCTCGACAGCGCAGCTGCGATAACCGACGCAGTGGGGTTCCACTGCAGTTGTCCTTCCGATTAGCGCGGTTGTCTGCGTGCGGTGCGAAAGAAGTTCGTGCATGCACACGGTGGCAACGTCAACGGCTAAAGTTACGAAGAATGCTCTTCTCGCCGCATGATGATGGCAGCATCGCGGTTCAGGAGCTGAACGCCATTGTCGAAGTATGCTGCTGCTGGCCATGACGAGAAAGCTTCAGGAGTGAGAGAGAGTTCGTGTCGTTTTGCTCTGACTCCTCCCCAAAAGGAACGCAGACTACATAGACGCCGTTTATTTGTACGGTCCATAGTTTGGGTTGCATGGTCACAGTCGCGCTCCTGTGGCTCGTGTCATTAATTTGCAATTGTTGAAGCAGGTGTGACACATCTCTTACTGATTGTCTGTGTCGGGTGGTGGAGGGTTAACGCGCACATCTATACTGCCGCGATCGAACCCAGCACACTTTTTATCGTGAACACCCGGGGGGGAGGGGGATAATCTTTCGCCTCTGTCTGCTGCACGGTCGCAGCCTCCCTCCGCACGGCTCGGCGCGATTAAAAACACCATGACGTCACCCGCGGCAGCTTAGCACGCGTGACACACTTGCAGCCTCCACTCAACCCCTCCCCGAGACAACAACGCATTCGACTCCCCCACCCCCACCCTGCCCCAACTCTCTCACTCTCTTTTTTTACGATCAGTGGAAACAAGAAGATGCTCGGTGTATTCGGCACTTTGCTTCGTTCATCATTTCGTAATAAAAAAAAATACATTTTTAAACTTAGCTTTATGTAAAACCCCCACCTCTCGCTCACTCTCTCGCTCTCACGTTACTCACAAGCGGGTATTGTTTAGATGATTCGTTGCTACTGTTACTTGAGCGTTCCTTCTCCGACGCGTTTAATGTCGCTCCGCTTCAACGAAGGACCGATCTATTTTTTTTTTATTATCTTTGTATCGTTTTTTTGTGCCATTTTCCTTGATTCTTCGTGCAGTAGCGTGGCAGGGTGGCGTCTGCGCTATTATTGCTCGCGTCTGGGTTTGATGCGCGACTCGGGTGCCTCTCAGTGTGGAGATTAGACGTTTCTCTCCCCACCCCCACACTCACCTGGCCTGCGTGGGTTACCTCCGGTCTTTCCGGTTGCATCCCAAAGCACGTTGACTGGTATCGGCCAAACATTCCGATGTTCTGCAAAACAAAACACCCCCCCCCTCTCTGCAATTACTCAAATTGGAATTACGCACAGGTCAACATCGCCCCGTATTGCATTACCAAAAAAACCCACCACCCCATAACACTTACTCTCTGGTTCTTTCGGTAACGTCACGTAGGTATAATAAGTATAACCCGTAAAAACAAAGTTTTTCACTCTAAATCCTTTATATGGCTTGAGATGGCTGCCACCTATGGGTCAGATAATTGTCTGCAGTATTAAACAATTGTTAATTAAATATTTAATTTGTTTTCCCTAAACAGTGTAAAATTTTGGAAAAAAATTTTCACAAACATTAATTGTCACGCACAACGAGTCTGTGTGGAAAATGTCAGCTCGATTGGATCACGGGAAGTGGGTTAAAAAACGACCGAAAGGTTTGCACGGTCGTAAGCAAGCAAGCAAGCACGCAAGTGAACTTAATATAAAGGATTTAATAAAATAAATCACGACGTTTCGGGCGCAACACAAGCGTCCGTCATCAGGTGGGAAAGCGTGGCCTGCCGCTGATGCATACTGTTTTGGAAGGAGCCCCTCTTGAAACAAACAAAAGTCCTGTGACACACAGTGATGTTCTCGTTGGTGTTTGCTTGCTGGTCGTGCTGGAGATGTCGATCCTTATCTATGCCCCCCCTCCCTGCACTCCACCACACACATCTCGAACCCCGCCCGCGTCCACCACAAATTGCTGTTGCGCTGGAATGTTTCTTTGTCTCTTTGCACCGCAGACCTCAACAGCTGTCACGTGTTGAGCTTTTTTGTGCGCTGTCGAATCTCGACATCGGTGCAAACTTTGTCGGCCTTAAGAATGTTCCGATGGGCCACGCTTCTCAAGCACCCTGGCTGCATTGTGCGCCCAATCACTTCCCTTCTCGACCTTCATTCCTACCCAGCGCGCACCCACCAGTCTGACCACGCACGGCGGCTGCACAGCTGCTCGGTACACACGTGTCACACACACACACGTGTCACACACACACACGTGTCACACACACACACGTGTCACACACACACACGTGTCACACACACACACACGTGTCACACACACACGTGTCACACACACACACACGTGTCACACACACACGTGTCACACACACACACGTGTCACACACACACACACGCAAAGACAATGATCCCCTCCCCCCGTATGGCCTTTAACAGTAACGCTGTCGCAAAGCGAGTAGCAGCGATGAAGACCGACACGGCACACGAGGCGTTGGTTGGCCAACATCACGCCCGTATTAACATTCCCATTCACCTGCTTACCTCGCTACATATTCAACCAACTTAATAGTTAGTTACATACCTACCTATACCCCGGTACTTTGACTCGCCTACATATCCACTCACTGCGTTACCCACCCATCCGTCTACCCACTCACACAGCCATTTCGCCTACTCACACCGTGCACTTACCTAGAAGGCAATATACAAAGATATACAAAGACAAAGGTCTCCCGTATAGCCTCGACAGACTGTTGGGGCAAGTGCTGTTAGCGAGCACCTACGAAGGTCGGCACGGCGCACGAGGGGGGTGGGTGGCCAGCACCACGCCCGGCCGCCTTTGTCTCCCCAGTGGCGATGTTTACACACCTAACCAGGTGCTCACTTGATTTCACATCGATGTATTATGCAGATGCGAACCCATATTGCGGCGGCAGACGGCTCGAATTGGAATGAATGAGAATGTGGTGGGAATGAGTTTGAAGGAAACGCTGCGGCGAGACAAATGGCATAAAAAAATTGAGCGCGTGACCTCTTGCCCTTCAAACTCTAAATATAAATGCAAGACTTAGCAGCTACTCGTGCGGTGTTTAAAGCCCTTCCCCCCCTCTCCCAGCCACCCCCACCATTCTTTCCTCTGCCTGGCCTAAGCTCTGCCTTGAGAGAAAGAGAGAGAGAGGAAACCTCTCACGCAACAAAGCAGTTTCTCTGTGGGGCCCAGCTGGCTCGTGACTGATAGCGCAGCAAAGGGGTTTTGTTGTTGTTGCTAAACCCTGCACATTGATAATCTACACACACACATTCCACACAGCCGTGGCTCTAGTTTCATATCAAAGCAATCCGCCACTCGGACTTGCGTTTGAAATGTGCGCGCATATTTTTCTTGTGTGGGTTTAAAAGGCCGAAGACTTATCTCGCAAGGCAAAGCGCGGGACGAGTTCCGTTTCGTCGCGTTCAATATCCGTTGATTACTTTTGTTGTTTAAAAATCAATCGAACGTTATTTATATATTTATACATATAGGCTTTCTTGAAGCCGGCTGGCTCAGGAGGTTTGTGAGTCAGAGGCACTGATGGGGCTCCCTTGGGTTCAACTTCTGGGTTCACAACCGCGCCGCGCTGTTAAGCCGGGTTTCTCAAGCGCGGTGAGTTGGTGGTGCGCGCGCGAAAATACCCCGCGCGATATTAAAGATTTTATATTCTCGATGAATCCTGGAAAATCCAGCCGTGAAAATGTTATTGCTTTGACGCGCAATGAACTCTAATCCTGGGCGCGGACGAGGAGGCCTATTGCAGTGAATTGTCATTGCGAGTTCAAATCCTGATTGGGAGTTGAGTCAGCCCATCATCGTCCATGGGGTCGAAATAAATGAGTCCTATCCGTAGGCGGTGGTCCTATGGATACACCCGACCCTGCCAGAGGAATGTGGACATTTTCATCTCACCCGACTCTGGAGAGAAGCATCAATATCTCGATACTCGTTTGAGTAAGGACATGACTTTCGTCCCCCAAAGTGACTTCAGAATTAGTTATTTGAGGACAACTCTCTGGGCCGTTGTTTCACACAAGGTGATCCACTCCTTACTACTCTCGAGAACTCTCCACCTCATGTCACGTGAAGCCCCGAATGCAATCATAACACGATCGGGAAACACAAAGAAGACAAAAAAGCGACATGAAATTTTAATTTAAAAAAACATTTCAATTTAAAAGCAATTATTCATGAACGAAGCATCAGCAATGTGTTATTATGGATACGGTGTCCGCTCCTCGCCCTGTGGTGTGGAATTCTAATTATGTATCTTGTGAACGGGCATTAATATTTATTCCTAATTAAAACGCCCGAGTCAAAAAGTCTGCCTTTGTATAAATTGTTTCTTCTGCAAAAGACCCAAAAGGTCAACCCCAGCTCCGAGTCATCGCACTTAAACAAACGCTGCTGGCTAACTGCAAGTTTGGAAGATCAATAAAAGGTAACAGAAAAGGCAAAGGTGCAGCACTGCACTTGCTTTGCTCAAGCCTCCTGCAGGCAGAAGGACCTCCACCAGTCGAAGCTCAATACAGCCCACGTAGAGGCTAATTTTACCTACTCTTCCACGCTGACCAGACACATCTGAATGAGTAGAAGTACCCACACTTTACTCCACCACACACGACATGATGATTGGCCAACTATAGTGGATCTACTTACATTGGTGAGTGGACAGAGGTTGTATTCGTTGTTGAAACTGTCACGCTGGGAGATCAAACTTGCAAGTCAATGGTGCTGCTGAGCATTACAACATCCCCATAGGCCGATCTATCTATTTCATTATTCAGAATTCTCGTCTTAAAAAAAAAAGTTTTAGTGTGAAATTTCTTTTCCGCATTGCCAATTCGTGTATCAGTGGTGGCGTAACCACGAATCGTGACCCAGATGCGGCTCCTGGGCAGTTCAAGAGAGGCTCACTCACAATGCTGATTACATTGTGTAACACAATTTTTGTCCCTCGGTAGTAAGTGTTATTTTTTTTTATTGCTAATGCCTAACAAATATAGAAATAGCTATTATTCCCCACAAACTTTGCTTTTCTGACCAGGACAGTAATATTTAGAAATGTATCTATTTTCAATGAGAAAACGGGCAAATTTGTGTCTTTTCGTTGACATATAATCAGAAAAAAATACATATGAATCAAAATTAACATGTATTTATACCAAAGTATTACAAAAAATTACTTCAAAAGATTTAGAAGTGAGTAGTTTTTCGAGATTTATGATTATACTGTTAATCACTTTCACGAATCAGCCCCAAAATGTAGTCTCCCATCATGTTCTCGTTATTCTGTCCTTGATAGCGGCGTTCAAAGTCCAGTATATCCTGTTGGAAGCGCTCGCCTTGCTCTTCCGAGTACGCTCCCATGTTCTCCTTGAATTGATCAAGATGAGCTTCAAGGATATGGACTTTGATGGACATCCTACAGCCCATTGTGCCGTAGTTCTTCACTAGTCTCAACCAGCTCCACATAGTTTTCGACCTTGTGATTGCCCAGGAAGCCACGAACCACTGCGACAAAGCTGTCCCAAGCCGCTTTCTCCTTACTAGTGAGCTTCTTAGGGAATTCATTGCACTCCAGGATCTTCTTTATCTGTGGTCCGACGAAGACACCCGCTTTGACCTTTGCCTCAGACAGCTTAGGGACAAAGTCTTGAAGGTACTTGAAGGCTGACGACTCCTTATCTACAACTCTGACTAATTGTTTCATAAGGCCCAATTTGATGTGCAGTGGTGGCATCAGCACCTTCCGGGGGTCCACCAGTGGCTCCCACTTGACGTTGTTCCTCCCCATAGAGAACTCGGTCCGCTGTGGCCAGTCCCGCCTGTGGTAGTGCGCCTTGGTGTCCCTGCTGTCCCAAAGGCAAAGACAGCAGGGACACTTGGTAAAACCGCCTTGGAGACCCATCAGGAATGCCACCTTTTAGAAGTATCCGGACTCATCATACTTCAAGCGTCCAGCAAGGTCTTGATGCTGTTGTATGTTGTAATCCTCTTTGAGGCGCACCGAGTGAGCCAGGGGAAGAGACGGGTATTTGTTACCATTATGGAGCAGCACGGCTTTGAGGCTCCTGGATGAGCTGTCAATGAAGAGGCGCCACTCATTCTGGTTACAGGCGATTCCGATTGCCTCGAACAGACTGGTCACATTGTGGCAGAAGCAGAGCCCATCTTGACGAGTGAAGAAGCTGCAAAAAGGTTGGTGATGCTTCCTCTGATCTGCGACTTGCAGACTTTCATCCAACAAGTTCCACTGCTTGAGCCTAGACGTCAAAAGCTCGGCATTGGACTTGGTGAGACCAAGATCTCTGATCATGTCGTTGAGGTCTTTTTGGTTGGGGTAGTACGGGTTTCTCTCCTCAGCTCCACCTCTGAAATTGTCATCTAGATCTACAACGTCTTCCTTGCTCTCTGACTTGCTGCTCTCTTCTAAAGAAGGCTGCTCTCTCCCCGGAGGAGTGGGTACGGGGAGCTCATGGCATTGTTGCACCGGATGAAGGAAGGTCCGGATACGTGATAGCAGGTGCATTCTTGCCAATCCGACATTTGGAAGGGTCCACCATGCAGAAGTAGCAGTTGCCTGAGTGGTCAGTGGGTTCCCACCAAATTATTGAGATAGCGAACTTCATGGCTCTCTTTTCCCCTCTGTACCATCCTACAAAAATAAATGTATTTCACCCATGACTAGTGTGTAAGAGATTCTCGCAAAAAAATTGCAATGTATGATATATATTTTTCAATAACATTGATAATGTAAAACATTTAGAAGTTTAAAACTCATAATTAAAAACATTGGAACAAATTTTAGAACAGAAAATTCCGAGCAACAATTGTCCATCTTACCTTCTAGAGTTGTTTTGCATCGCTCGCAGGTGAAATGAGGTGCCCAGGGTTTGTCTTGATCCCCAACAGGCATGCTGATGCTTCCACATGAGTACTTTTCCTACTTAGGCAGCTGGAACTAAACTGAACTGGTGGGCTTAAGGCCCCTGTATTTATACTACTATTTATATTACTGGAAAGTTCTAGAATGTTCTAGAAGTTACTACAAATTCATTCAGCACTGAATCTATCTGGAATGTTCTGGAAAATAGGTAAATTTCAATATATCACTGTCTTGGTCACAGAAGCAAAGTTTGCGGGGAATAATAGCCATTTTCTAGTACCTTTGAGGCATAAGCAATTAGGAAATAAAACTTACTACCCAGGGACAAAAAAAACATTGTTACAGTGAAATCATAACTTGGATTTGTAAGGCGCCGCATAGTCGGTCGCTCGCTCGCAAAAACAGAGAACGACTCGGAGGAGGCCGCAGACACGCCGGGAAGGCAGCCACACGCGATGACGAACCTCTGCCAACAATTGCCCAAGGTCTGCGCTCGTCTGTATATGTTAATGTGTTTCAGCCGATTAAAGAATGTGAAAAAACTGGAGCACCTGGAGAAGCTCCCCCCCCCTCCACGTGTGCGAGGGAGCAACACTCTATCCCAAACAGATGGAACAGATGGATTTTAGATTTGAAGCTTTCGTGACTGCAAGGATTCATACTCTTAGGTTTTTTCGGTAAAGTAAAATAAAAATAAATAATACAAATAAAATAATAATATTTTATTATTATTCTTTCTATAATTTTTATTATTTATTTGTATTTTTACCTACGTGACTTTACCGAAAAAAACCCAAGAGTAGGAACAGATGGTATTTACTTGATACAGCTGTCGTGGCTGTGACGGTACCACCTGAAGACGGAAGCTTGTGTTGCCTCCGAAACGTCGTGATTTTTATGTTATTTTACTTTTATTAATTTTAATTTCTTACCTACGTGACTTTACCGGAAAAAACCTAAGAATATTTAGTCGACACTTTGCTGTGATAGGAGATGGCAAGCCGCGAGACGATATTCAAGACACGTGTGCGTTCCACCAAACCCTCGCTGTCCCTCCACAGCGCTGGTTTATAGGCCAAGGGCATCGCCACCACCGCCCGGATAATTTGCAACTATTCAATACAACTTTATTTGAAAGAAGGAAACAAAATGTGCAGAAGCCAGAATAGACCCGGGGGCAGTCGCCCCTGGCAGCAGAGCCCAGACATGAGTGCTCCTCGCGGCGTTCTTGCAGATTTCTAATTTGGAATCTCCACGGCCAATCCGCCGGTGAGTGATCGGGCTGCGTGACCGCCGTCTGTTGTTCCTGTGGCGCTGGGTCACAAAAAAAGGATGCGGATTTGTGGCTCGTAAGGTCAATCAATAGGTTTGGCCACCCCCTTGTTAAACAACGACAACCACGCGATCCTGCGGTCTGTCCACCAAACGTTGATCCTTGCACGTTGGGCCTCAATTTAATGCAACGCAATGCAACGTGTGGCTTTATATATAATAAGCGCCGTTGGAACGTAATCGTATTTCAACAACGTGTCACTTTCTAACCCGCCCTGACTGGACATGTGCGAAAAAGAGATTTTTTTTTAATAGCTCATCGGATTCCTCCGGTATAAAATACAGATTCTGATTGTGAAAAAGAAACACGTGTACCAGACAGGACCTCAGTCAAAAGGCACTTTGCACCCGTTGGACTTTAATTACATAATGCAGCATTTTACAAGGCCAACGTGTTCGTGCAAATGCACTCAGTGCACGGCTATTATTACATACATACTCGTGTGGGCCGTTAGAGATGTTATCTGTGGACCTCCGTGCTCCATTAAAAAAAGCCTTCTGGGGTAGAGTAATGCTCACGGCTCGAGGCAACGATGGAAATTCCACATCCTCTTTTCCAGGAAGTGAGTTGATCCGTAGGACAACCGCTGCTAACTTCTCACCGCGTGGTTCAACTTCCTCGCGCGATGCAACATTTTGCTGAAACTGCTGGATGGATGATGATGACCGATGCATTTAAAACAGACCACGATGATGATGGCCTATCGATGATAATGGATTAAAGCTGACTGATGAATGGTGCTGATAATGATGGATAATTATGATGTGATGCTGGAAGAGAAAGATGATATTTATTCATGATGATGACGAATGGAATTGTGTATATATTTTTTTAATTGGTCAGATATCTCACTAACTGCAGGCCCCTCCTGAAAAAAGTCTTAAAGTTGATGACACTTCACTTGATGATTATACAGTACAGTAGTAATAGTATTAATAACTTTCGATTTAAAGCTTTCGTGACTGCAGGGATTCATCTTCTTGGTTCTTTCGGTAAAGTCACGTAGAAGGGAAATAATTGTATTTTATTATGTTTATTATTTTATTATTTCCCTTCTACGTGACTTTACCGAAGCAACCAAGAAGCAGTATTAATAACCTTTACCAATCCACTGCTGGATGAAAGCCTCCCCACACCAAGTTTTTTTTACACCATACATTCCAGCACAATATAATTTAAGTCTCATTATGATTATAATTACCGAGCTTAATTAGGATGTCAGCTTTACATCCCAGCCTGTAACCAGCACCGCAGCTAATACCCATGCGCTTACATTCAGCCGGGTTTGTTCATGCAGGTCATCGACCCAGATGGATGGCGCCTTCCATGAGCAGCGACGTGAGCGCGCAATTGCAGGGCTGCTGCTGCTGCCCCTTTATCAACAAACAAACAACAATTTTTTTTTACTAAATGTCGGCAAGAACAACAACAACAACAGCAGCAAATAACAGACAGCGTGCGACGACGCCACCGTCACAATGCCTATGCGGCTCCAGTCCCAACCCCACTCCCACCCAGCCCGCATGCCCCACGGCGCGTCTGGGTCAGTGGGGTTCGCCGCGTCTCGGCAGCAGCTGAAGGAGGCGTCAAGACGCACCTCACGTGGGGGGCGGGGCGGGGTGGGGGGGTCAGTGACGTCAACGTGACGCTCACCGCCAAGTCGCTGTCACAGCGCGGATCCTGGCTCTGCGCACCCCCCTCTCCCTCCCCCCCTCCCTCGCCCCATCCCTCCCCATCTCTCCCCTCCCTCCGCTCCCGCTCCCTCTCCTCCCTCCCATCCCCCCTCCTTCTCCCCCCCTCCCTCTCCTCCCCTCCCTCTCCCCCACTCTCCCCCCTCCCTCTCCCCCCCCTTTCCCCCTCCCTCTCCCCCTCCCTCTCCCCCCTCCCTCTACCCCCTCCCTCTTCTCCCTCCTTCTCCCCCCCTCCCTCTCCTCCCCTCCCTCTCCCCCACTCTCCCCCCCTCCCTCTCCCCCCCTTTCCCCCTCCCTCTCCCCCTCCCTCTCCCCCCTCCCTCTACCCCCTCCCTCTTCTCCCTCCTTCTCCCCCCCCTCCCTCTCCTCCCCTCCCTCTCCCCCACTCTCCCCCCCTCCCTCTCCCCCCCCTTCCCCCCTCCCTCTCCCCCTCCCTCTTACCCCTCCCTTTCCCCCCTCCTTCTTCTTCTCCCCTCCTCCCCCCCCTATCTCTCTCCCCTCCCTCTCCCCCATCCCTGTCCCCCCCTCTCTCTCCCCCCCCTCTCTCCCCCCCTCTCTCTCCGCCCCCCATCTCCCCTCTCCTCCTCCCACACCACCTACGTATCCCCACGGTAGCACCGCCACGGAGCTGTCAACCAGTGCCGGATTAAGCTAGTGCGGGGCCTGTAGCATATGCTATAAAATGAGCCCTAAATAAATATATAAAGCACATGTTAATACTGTATTAAAACACACATTTTGTACTTGCATAGTAAAGTAATTGTTTTTTTTTCATTTGCTATACAGCCAGAAAATACGACAAATCGCTAACCTTAAACACCCAGTCGTTCGTAAAAGTTGAAGGCAGTATAGTACTATAGTAATAGAGCAAGTGCAGAATCACTGAACCCGAATTGATAACTTGAAAAGCATTTAGCGCGGGGCCCTTGAAAGTGCGGGACCCGTAGCTACATATGTAGCTACTTTTGCTACTAGGATAATCCGACACTGCTGTCAACCCATACGGTTTACCTGGATTCTTGTACAGGGAAATTGAGTTTTCGGGTCCATGCGGCGTACGGACTTGCGGCTCTCCCTCGTGATGGGACTTTGTAGGATGAACGTTGAGATGTATAACGGGCGCGGGGTGACCATTAATGTCTTAATTGGTCTGTAATAAGGTAGGGCACTGATAAGGGGTTGACAGTGATGCCACCACCACCGCCACAACTACTATCACCACCATCGCCACCATCACCAAACAACCACCACCACCACCACCGCGCTAATTCGTCCTCAGCAGGCTTTGCGTTCGTAAGCCGTATCCGTTGGACGCCGCCGCGCGTGTTTCGCCTCTAAATCCTGGGAATGGGGCGAACTCACGTGCCCGGCTTTGTGTCTAATCCCGGGGTCGGCGGATAGAAAGGCACGCACTGCAATGTACGTTGAACTTTTTTCGCACGCGACTCAGCCGACCGTGTTCATCGGAGGTGCGAGAAGTAGTCGTTTTTTTTGTTTTGTTTGTGGAATTCGGGAACAAACCAAAACAAATACTCACAGTACACATACTACACACACAGTACGCACAACGTACACCCACAGTACACCACACACACAGTACACACATACTACACACACAGTACGCACAAAGTACACCCACAGTACACCACACACACGGTACACACATACTACACACACAGTACGCACAAAGTACACCCACAGTACACACACACACACAGTACACACACGGTACACACAGTACACACACAGTACACACATACTACACACACAGTACACACACCGCACACACAAATACAAAGATGCCTCGCATAGACTTCACAGACTGTTGGCTGCCAAGTGCTGTTAGCGAGCAGCACCTATGAAGGCCGGCACGGCACACGAGGGGGTGGGTGGCCAGCACCACGCCCGGCCGCCTTTGTGATTTTTACACCTCGCGCCAAGTACGCCGATGTCGTCGGACCCGCTAGGCAAGTGAATTGAGACTCAGTGAGGTTTTCACGGGTGAATCATTGGCATTGTTGTTATTAGTAGTAG